CCACGCCACGCACACACACACCCCCCCCCCCTCTCCCCGAGACACTGGGGGTTTGCACGGCGCTATTCACCTGAAACCCGCCCCAACATTGTTAGATGGAAAAACGGCGACAACAATTCTGCTGCTAAGAAACGCTGTCCTTAGCAGACCGCGGCGCGTCTTTGGCCTCGTCGCGCCCTTCCCGTTGGGCGCCGCTTTGCCCCCCGGAGTGCTAAGAGCCGCCGCAGGGCGCGTTTCTTCCCGCCACGCTACGCCAAGAATGCCCAGCACCGTGGCGAGCGCCGCGCCTTCACGATGGCCCCCACCTCGCTGGAACCGTGCGACCTGGAACTCTGAGCGGGTTGGTTTGCCGTCGATCCCCGGCGCGCCCACACGGGGCGGAGCACCTCGCCGCCGAGAATGGTTGCAGGCGCCTTTTAGTTTTTAGTCTAGCTGCGACCTGGTCGCTCACACGAGTTCCCACTGCCGCGGGCCGCTCACGCCGCCCATCTGGTGACGCAAGCTGGTTGCGCCGGGGGGGTCTGGGCTATGTTGCCCTCGGGGGCGGCGTGGGAACACTCTGTTGATTTTTTTATTTTCCCCATCGCGCGGCAGGATCCCACGCAACGGGGCAGCAGGGGCGGAGGTGGCGACTGCGCGGCCTCTGCCGCGGGACGGCGTTCCAGCATAGCGTGTGGACTCCCCCTGCTGTGGTGAAGCGGGTTTGCTGGAAAGAGGTTTGGGAGGAAGAAGAAGGTGCCCGTATCGCTCGCCAGGCGCCCATCGGTGCTGCAAAGAACCCCTTTCCGGCGGGCACGAAGGCGCCGGGATGTGACTCGCAGCCCCACGCCCAGACGCAATGCAACTTCTACCCGTTCTTTTCTGGGCCCGCTCGCGCCTTGCAGATTTCCAAACGCCCCTTGCGCTGTTGGTGGCGTTGCCCCTCTGTTGCGTGGCGCGGGCCGCCCAAACCTCCGCCGGAGTCCCCGGCAGACGGGCGCGCCGTGCCTGTCTGCCTCCTGCCCCTGGCTTGCAGTCGCGCGCCTGCCAGGTTCCCCCAACCCACGAGGCCTGGCGCGCGCGGCACCCGTCAGGAAAAGCTTGTCGCATAGGAAATAGTCGCATTTGAGGCCGAAGCTGGGGCTGGCCTAGGTTGGCCTTGCCCTTGTGGCCTTCTCAAACGCCGGCCCCGCAAGCCGATGAACCCCCGGTTGAGCTCGGGAGGCCCTGCTGCATCTGCTGCTGGGATGTGCCTGTCTCCGCTTGTTGCGCATGCGGGTGTTTGGTGCAATTTCAGCCCACCGCACTGCTCCGTCCGAAACGAGGAAACCTGCCCGGTTCTCGCGGGCGGCAATCGCAACGCCGGCCCATAGCGGCCGCAACGCCCAAGGAAAATAGTAAAAACAACTAGAAACCATTTGCTTCCCTTTTCTTTGGCCACCACCCCAACCCCAACCCCGGGCGCGCCACTGGTGCGGCCGCGCCCCTACGCAGGGCTAGGCGTTCGTTTAGCCACACGAACCCCGCACCCGAGCACTGCAGCAGGCCAAATGGAGACCAAGACGGCCTTGCCTCTCGGGACTTTTTTGTGGAGCGCCAGGCACGGGAAACAAAACAGACCGCCCGCAGATCGGCTGGCGAAACTGCAAGGCCGTTTCGTTGCTGCCACCCAGCGGGCATCGCCCCCCCGCTGTGGCGTCCTCAAGAACCCGGACCTCTGGGGGGAGGGCTTCAAATTTGCTTGGAAGTGGCGCGCTGCAAGCGTGCTGTGCGTCAAGAGCGTAGCCCTTGCTGCGCGATTGGCACGGCACCAATACGGCATCATTATCCCTCCAGGAAGTCAAGAACTAAAGCGCCACAGCGACAAAGCCTATT